ACTCCACACAAAGTAAAAATGCTTAAAGTTTCAGAGATGCTTTTTGTAAACACAAAGTCAAGTCATGGACAAAATCAATAGAATACGCTGTGAAACTATGCCCGGCCTGTTGGTGGTGCTGTGACACAATGGTATCAAGGTCAGACTTTGTGAAGGAAATTAATGGGCAAGCTCACCTGTGCAAAAATGTGTAAAAAGACTTCAGGAGATGTTGCAATGTCGTAATAGTGTTCGTCTGCTCACTCGCTTCACAAGCAACACCGTAAGAACACAAAAACCATACAGACACAAACGACACCGAACAGTTGCGTTGTTGTTGCCAGGGTGATGACGCAACCATCTCAGATTCCTTGCAGAAAGATCATAACCACGAAGCAGTGCATACAGACTTTTAAGATATTTTCACTGAAGAACCTGGTTTTAAAAGTGAGCATTTTCAGATCAAAACGCCGGCTTTGTCAGGATGATACACTGATTAGTGAAAGTATATTTAGAACTCTTAGAGCAGTCAATCTGACGGCTTTCAGTTCTGAAAGTGTAATTACTCAGCTCATGTGCATTTTTCCTCTTCATAACTTTGTGACCCTTTCTGTTTCTTTATTTCTGTGTAATTATATTTAGGAAATGTTCTTAATTTTTTGAAACAGAGTGGTGAAGTAGAGAAGAGTGCTAGGAATAGCAACATACTGTTAACTTGCTACCAGTTATCATTAGCTATTTTTTGTGTTTTTGTTCTGTATGTCAAGTTTAATTCACCAGTTTTAGCACCTAAGTGAGGTCCATTTGAATAAAATGTAAACCACTCATTTTCATTGATTTGAATGGGAGCAGTCAAAATTACGGCTCTGGGAGTTCTAGTAGTTTCATGGTTCTGTGAGTCCTAGTCATAAGCCTGAATTTGACGTTGTGTGGACAGGAATTTAGAACTCAACAAACTTCTGGTCAAAGGTAACACTTCTTTTCAACATTCAATACATTGCAACCAAATGCTCGTACATTCATGGCTGCATTTGATTACCGCTCAAGTAAAAAAAGCTTAAGAAGATATAATATAAAAGTGTAGTACACATTAGTGGAAAGTTGAAAGAAGCGGCACATTTGATTTGTTCTCATTATAAAAGTTTTGGAAGAAAATGTAATCACAAGTGAAAGAGCGGCACATAAACTCATGCTTCATTAGCAGAGCGCTGTCCCACACTTCATTTGTCTTTATTGATTTTAACATTCAAGTATCATTGCTTTAACACTGCATTTGTCAATATGCATTCAGGGTCTGTCTGCAGACCGGACTGCAGAATTTTTCATCATTTAAGTACACGTACTGATTTCCTTTCATGCCGGAATGGAAACAGTGTGTTTATGTAAAGGCACACTTCATGTTATTTCTAGTAGTGGACCAAAGAAAAAGCAGTCGATCAATTGGTCGACTCATTTGGGGCCGTGATAAAAGCTCAACTATTAGTTATAAGTGTCCTACTTCAGCTCTATGCAAAATGACTAAAGCAAAAACAAGGTTGTTATTAATAAATATGAGAATACAAGATATATCTTTCTTACTGAAACTTAATTAAACAGGAAAGGATATATACATTCTTAGAGGCAGTAAAAAAGTGTATGTGCCTAAATGTAGGACTACTTTAAAATCAATGTGTATCTCAGTGCGAGGAGCAGCTGTTTGGAATGATTTATCAGATGAATTAAAGACCTGCTCAAACCTGATCACATTTAAAAGAATGTTTAAAAAAGATTTATTGAACAAATATGTGGAAGTAAGAGAGTGATGCCTTGAGCACAGAGCAAGTAGTGGGTGAGAGGTGTAGGGTCGGAGTGTGTTTGGGCCTGTGTGTGTGTGTGTGTGTTTAGTGTTGTCTGTCTTATACCATCGGTGGTAGTATTGGTATAACTGTTGTAATGTATTGTCATATTTTCAAGAATTCTACTGCATGATATTGTTAAACACTTTGGGTTGGAACCCAATAAGCATTTGCTTCATCCAACTCCTTTTCGAACCAGGTACGGGTTATCTGTCTGCATCGATATATGTAAAAATGTGTATTGTGCATGGTTCAAAATAAATAAATAAATAAATAAATAAAGAATGTAAATATTTTCTAAATTGGTCGACTAGAGTCAAGTTACATTGAACGCACTTTAGACATGGCAGTAAATTATGCAATGTATACTGTAAATGAAACAATTGTTACAATACACACAATAGTAGGTTTCATGGGCCATAGGGTCTTTTAAACACACAACATTCTATCTGACTTTAATACAAGACAAGAAATTAAGAAAGACCTTTTCACAGACCAACAGGTACAAAAATACATGAGTTATTAATTTACTCCACACAATGTTCGGTCACTACTGTTGCTACAGCTGCCCTGGGACGGACTGCCGCAGGTGTAGCTGTATCTTCTGAGGTCTACAAAGTATACAACCAGATTAATTTATGTTTTGATAATCATTTTGGGCTTGTTTTCATTTGAATGCAAAGTTTTGCATAAATGATAGAATTACAGCAGTTATTCCAGTATAATATACTCTAAACATACAGTAAAGAATATTAGGATCATGTAAGGGTATTTATGAACATTTATGGACATTGGTCATATGCTCCCAATGGACCAATGGCTCTTATGTAATCATTGCATTTCCTGTGTTCTGCTGTTATAATTGAACAAAAATAAATTGAATTGAATGACTGTATGTGTTTTTGTTAAAGTAAAACAGCTGTTCCCCAAATGTTGACTAAGAGACATGAAAGAAGGTTGGCCCGAAGCTTACATGCTTCTATCCATGCTTTTGAGCTCTTAGATGGACTATTTCCCTTTGAAGTAACAAAAAGTTGTGGGAGTCTGGACACTGTGGATCCTTCATGCTTTATGCTAAAGTTGTAGATTTTAGATTTGCTCCTCATTCCTACTGTTCTGTAACTGGTGATGCAACACTGACATTTCCCCACCGTGGGACAAATAAAGCACCTCTTAATCTTAGTGTTCTACTTTAAAACTGGTGTACACTTAAATTAATGAACTATATTGCATACTTCAACTATCACAAGAAGTCTCAGAACTTATACGATACCAGTACTGCGTTTATGTCACAGTAAAAGACAGACCGACTATAGTGCCCTGTGCAGTGGAAGAAAGTTATTGGCCCTTCTAACAGATGGGCTCTACAGCTCCTGGTTCAGTCTTTTGTGTGGACGCTGCCCTCTAATTACAGCTGATGAGTGTGTGTGTGTGTCTGTGTGTGTGGGACAGAGGGGGGCGAGGGGGGGAGCAGGTGTCGGGACGGGGAGAGGAACCTGTGGCAGCGCCCGCACCATCAGGCAGAACGGAGCCCCAGCCTGACAGCTAATTATCAACGACACGGATTTCTCCCAATGTAACAGATGTTGCCTAATCAGTCCAGGCCGAGAGCAGCCCGCGCCAGCAACATTTCATGCACAATTTCACCATCTAAAAGGGACCAAAGACTTAATGCATTGTAAGGCCCGCACAGCTGTTTCTCTCGTCAGGAAAATCACGCAGTCAAAAATATTCATGTTTTATGTAACTCTAACCGAGTGTCCATAATGCCATAATCGCCCAGGAGAAATTGCAGCCACGCATCTGCCAAAGATTTCAGCTCTATTGGCTCGGATGGAGATGATGCAAATTGGAGTTTTAAAGACTTGGGGTGACAAATAATCAATAAAATAAATCGTGCCGTAGACAATTTTCCCAGTTATATTAAAAAAAACGTGGACTTGTGCTGTAGTTTCTTAACGCAGCATCTGGTACTTATCAAACCTCAAACACCTACAGTAATAAACCCATCTAACTAGCTCTCAAAACAGTTTGGATCTATCATAAATTTGATTAAAAGTGTTGATATTTTTAGCGAGTCGCTTTTCAGACAGAAAAGTTAAAGGAGCTATACCCATTTCTGCAAAGATTGAATGTTTAGCACCTAGTGCTAGCACTAGAGCCATCTAGTTTTATTTCCAATCTATATGCTAACATTAGCATGAGCGCAACTTCTTGTAAGCTGTAAAACAATCACTGATGAAATGGTACAAAAGCAATGCACTGCTAACAAAATATATAACTGAAAGAATACCGCTAGTTTCGCGAGTGGATGTAGTCCGAGGCGGTCCCGCACCCGCGGGTCTCTCCCATAGACTGTAAGTCTCTCCGGAGGATCATTTTTTCACTTTAGTTCCCTCTTCTCTTCCTCTCTGTTGCATATTTTGGACTGTTTTGCTGTGTATGCAGTTACACCAAGAGGAGTTATAGCCAATTCTGCTAACATGCTACTGTGTTTAGCAGCGCTGTAGATGCTAAAGGACGCAGGCTGTTCGCTCCTCGTTCTGTGAGTGGAGGAGAACGAGCGTCACGCTAAGTCTCTACTCAGAACTTTTTACGGCCTGAATTTATACACAAGCTGAATCAATGAGCTCACGTTTTCAATTAAATTACGGATTATAATACAACTTGTACATACAGTACAGTGCATGTTGTCTTTCTTCACATCATCCGGCAGCGATGGACTATCGCCACCTTCACCACCACTACCATATTCATGAATTTCTGATTATTGTTCCATATCTTTTCCCATTCAAAAAGAATGTACAATTGTGTTGTTTATATGTATATATGTTTTTATTTTTCAACTGCATAATTTGTGTCTTTTTTTCCAACATCACAATCTTTCTCTCCCAATCTGTTGCATTTTGAGCGTATCTACTCAACTCTGCATGTTTATCTGATGCAGTAGATGGCAGGTAATCTAGCTCAAAGCCTCAACAATTGCACAGGGAGAAAAAAAACGAAGCGAAAAAGCACGGCTGATGAAATCGGAGCAGTTATCAGACTAACCATTACCTGTCAGAGTCTCTGCTTCAATTTAAGGGCGCATCAATTTTCTGAAGAGGAAATCAAGGGCGCGGGGAGAAAAGCAGAGCAGATAAACAGTGACAAAGGCTCTTTTCTGTTGGCTTTATTTATGATGGGATGTTTGGCGTGCAGGGACCGGGGCCAAGGGCTTGCTTGATCAGACAGAGCGATACACGCGTGATAGCGGTAGTCTTCACCATTGATGAAGTGCAGCCCTACACGCCGCGCAAAGCAGACTCCAATGACTTTCACTGGGAGATCTCCGCAGACGGGGGAGTCCCTGAGCAGTTCCACGCACACATGGGGGTGACATGCCGAGGGGGTGTGTGGGTGAGGAAAAGGGGAAGAGGCTTGTTTGTTCACCACAGAGGCCACGTCTAGAGTCCGTGGTGAATACATAGTGCCAGGGGTAAGTGATGGTTACATGGGAATGACGAGTGAACTTTGTCTTCTCGCATTTTGAGATCGATTGAAAATATAATAAATACGTTCAAAGCACAATTGTGTTAGAATTCACAATTATTGAAGTTCTATGACCTGTTCACGGCTGAGTTGGTGTACGGCGTTAGACCTAAGAAAATCCCTCTGTCTTTACAGGTTTTTTTTACTGAGAGGCAAAGTCAAAATATTTTAGTTTGTATGTTTATTAGAGCACATGTAAGAACTACTTTAAGAGGACATTGTTTATCCAGTAAAGGTGTTAAATTATGGAGCAGTTGCTGTGATGAGCTAAAAGACTATATAAATTATGAAAAAATAATTGTGTTGCGTGTTGTGTATTGTGGTATGGACTCTGGTTTAGTGTGATTATTTACAGTACGGATGTCTGTTAAAGTGCTGAATTTTGTTTTATAAGGACAGGCCAAAAAATCTTTGGCTTGAGTCGGTGCCTGGTCATGCTAAAACACTTAATTGTGATGGTTTTGATTTAAACTGGAATGACTATGAATGACCAAACGACAATAATTAAAATAAAATAAAATAAATTACAGAATACAGAAAAGCAGGGGAACCTTCCACCAGGATGAGTACAAGTCAGGGTTGTGGAGAGGCGAGCACTCAAGAGTCTTCTTACATGTGTCTATATGCAGAGATTAAGAGCGCCTTCACACATTGTCTCGTTGAAGGGAACTCTGGCTCAGTCGGGACTAATTCTGCTTCACTTGACTAAAAGCACAGTTTACAGTTGACATCTGCGCTCAGACAAACAGCTGTACGTGGGGGAGATATGTAAAAAAGTGCAAAACGGCACGTGCCTGCAATGTTTACAGGGGACACAATCTAAATAACCACCCACTGAAGCCTAATTCAAAAGCATTTTCCTTGGCTTCCCCGTCTGAATGGACATGCTGTTATAATCTTCAGGGCTGTCAAACTCGTTCCGGAAAGTGGATGCTGGTTTTCCATCCAACCAAGCAGACACCGCTCATTTTATCAAGCGAGTCCAGTCTTAACCTGTCACACAGCTTTCTTTAATGATTTTGTTCTGCAGTGCACAATTCTTAGTGGTTCCCTTGGCAGCCCCTCCACTGTTCCTGGTCTGCTCATTTTTGTTATCATTGTTAATATTAAGATGATCTATCTATCTATCTTAAGGTCTGGAGGTGCTCCATTGAGCTCTGCTAACAGGTGGGAGGGATTAACTCCTTTTGTAGATTGAAACGATTGGATCTGAGTTTACCGTCATGTATGTAATGCGCCCGAGTGAGTCGTTAGCATTTAGCCTAGCCATCTCCTTTGCCGCTAACAGAGCCCGTGGGGAGTAGCCCCACAATCTTTGCCAGCAATGAAACTTGCTAAACATTCCTCTTGCTCCGGCTTCGATCTCTTGATAGAACCAGCCCGGAAAACTTTACTATCGCAAACTCTTGACGTCACCACAACTAACTACAACACCCACCTCCCACGCTCGCTGATTGGTCAGATGGAATTCAACCGATTGTAATCACTAAGACAGGGACCAGACCCAGACGTTACATGCAGTGAAATGATAATTGAGCGGTACAGATGGCTAAGGCCAGGCTACATTTGTAGAGGATCTGATTATGGATTTAGGTTGAGTTTAGATGGTCACTCACCGCTGATGTTCAGCATTCTTTGTTCATTTTTCATTTAGGTTTAGTTTAGAAGTAGCTAGCCTGGCTGTTAATCGCCCAGCCATGGCACGGCAAAACCTTTGGGAACTATTTTATTTGCAGTCACTAGAAAAACTTTTCAGAATTAATAAAAGTGGACTGAAGTTTATTTTGTGTGTTTCGTTGGCACAAAGCCGTATAATAAGCAGGATTATGTACAGAACGCAGGTCATTATCGGAAAATAAGTACTGACAGGGAGAACCGGCGCATCTGGGTCTGCCTTCGCCCTGAAACTTACATAATATAGTTTAATAGAAGTGGTAAGTATTAGTTGTGTTTTGACCCTCTTTAATTGCCACATGAGCTCCCGAACACGTCTTTCAACAAACCTTTGCCTACATTTTTCTTGCATTTTTTTCTTTTATTTATTCTTGTCATCAATTTCAGAAGTCCTCTATATATTATACTGTTTCAAAGTGCCACCTGTTTCACATCAAATTTCTGAAAAAACTCATGCGCATAAAGGGTTAACATGATGTCACACGGTGCGTGGTGATGATCCAGGACGCTCGACATTCAACGACATTTATGAACATTATCATCATGTGTTTTTTACCATTGCATTTCTCATGTTTGGACTGTTTGATTCTCTGATCTGTGTTGGAAAAATCAACAGTTTTGTGAAGTCCTTCGAGATAACTACTGTTGATTTAGGGCTACAGTATACAAAAATAAATTGAATTGTGTCTGACACGTTTACTCTGCTGTGCTGTAAATAGATAAATGGATAGAATCTTATTTTTCTTTTTTTTATCATTTACATACAAAACATGTTAGGACGCTAGATCCTACTATCCCCTTGTGTTATAAAAAGTTTAAAACCATGAGACAATGACTATATCTATAGTTAAATACATTTTAACACATTATAACGAATACAGATACTAATTTGAATGTGATATTTTAGTCTAAGTCATCTTCTACTAATTTCATTGGGTGTATGAACCATATTCTTCATCTTTCATCTTTTACTTCTCTCAGTAATTTAATTTACTTTGACTTCCTTTTTTTAGTAGTATTGTTATTATCATTAATTCATTTCAAACTTGTTACCGTTACGCACAAATGCAAATGTTTCTGTTATACAGTACTTTGCTGGTCCCTATGGTAACAACCTACTCCGTGTCATTCTGGGAGCCATACGTCTGCTGTTGCTAAAGAAATGACAGTGTGTAATTACCTAAATGAGGAACAGTGAATTGCCCAGGTCCATCACAGCTGCTTGTTCCTCGTCATCACTTTAGAGCAGTGTAGGTGGGAGTGGGTGGGTGTCTAAGCCAACTGTCCTAATGTTGTGATGGCTGTGGGTGTGTGTGTGCGTGTGTGTGCGTGCGTGTGTGTGTGTAGTGTGTGCGTATTACGGCCTGCTTAAAGGGGCTAAGGGCTCCCACGCTGGCAGTTAACTGAGGAGACACGGACCGGCCATAATTAGATTCATCTACCGTTATTGACAAACGCCTCGAGACTCCACGGTCCGATCGATACGCACACTCACAGTATTGTTCCAAAAACCAATAACAGGGAATATTTGTCTTCTCCGCATCAGATACAGTCAAATAAATAGATGTGCACTTTTAAATATGGAGAGTCGCAGCTGTCAAGAGGAGACTGTGATAAACGTGGACGACGTTGGTTCACTGTGGTGTCAAACGGGGGGAAACGGCGTTGAAGGAATGAATATCGAGTCAACTTTTCATGATGGTGGAGTTATATATTAAAGGTGATGTCAGAAACTTTTACTGTGTTTAGATTTTTTTTTTATGATTAACATTTCAGACCACAGGACACTGTACTATTATTATATACAGTAAGTAATTGTCAACAGTAACATATTTAAAATAGCGATAGCTTTAGCATAACTATGACCGGGAAGATTTTCTGGTTAAACCCATGACGAGGGGCCTCCAGGGTTTAATTAATTTTGACCTAACAGGAAGCTGAAGGGGTGAGCATGGGCGGGTCTAACCAGTGCTTGTCTTCAAAAAGTTTCACACTCGCTCCGAAATATGAAAAGGAACCAACATTCACTTAAAGGGCAGTAGGAATTATTATTATTACATTAAGGAGAATCTGACAGAGTTTGAGTTGTTTAGTGGCGACTAATGGGCAAAACTTTCAGTCTCCAAATGTGCAAAGCTTAAAGAGTTATGGGCACTTCACTTCTGATAAGTTGTTGAGCGCTTCCAGGGTAAAAACAAATACAATATTTATGTTTGGGGATGTAGACATGACAAAATGTGCAGATGTTCAAGTTGTATAAGTACTCTCACAATCCACTTAATAGACTATGTGGAAAATGTATTTGTACAATTGGAATAAGAGATGGTCAAGATGAGCAAAACACTAATCTAGTGGTAGTAAGTAAGTAATTTTATGCTGCTTTTATAATTCCACATCCGATCAAAGGGACGCAATTGTAAAAAGCATAATTTGAAGGAAACACCCAAAACGAATAACCTAAATTGGAGGCAATACTTTTGTTTTTAAAAAGGCAGAAAACTTCTCTATAGTGTGAGGATTCATCTACTGTTACATGTTTTACATAATGTTAGCTAATTATATAATTTAATGAATATAATTTTGTCAAGATTGTTCGTGAGTATGTTCACAGAGCACTAGCAAAAACAAGATCCCTCATTTAGTCCAATTTATTTTGATAGAACAACACGCATGTAAACCGGTGTGAAAAACCAGTCTGTTTGGAATAATACTGAATTGTTTCCACTGCGTTCATGCTGCATGTAACCACATAAACCACATACTACTGAGACAAGACCAACAGATGCATTTAAGAGCTCAGGGAAAAGTCATACTTATGTTTGAAATGTATGTGATTGGAAACATTTAGGCCACTCCCTCATTGTGATCATAGCGATGAAGTACAGTCTCTCTGCACCTATTGCATTACTTTGGTGTTGGTGTTTGAAGCGAACCTTAACTGGAAACATACTGCTTTTAAAAGTGCTGGGTTGGTGAAATGACTTCAAAAATTTGAGTGCAAGTTAGAAAACAAATTTTAAAGCGTCAAAAGGCTCCAGCTTCTTGGCAGGGGCAGACGGGAATAAAGTGGTCAGACCGGTTTGAAAATAACACAGTCCTTTTTTTTAACACACTTCTTTTGCTTTGTAAACGTACTCAGATCTTTTGTGCCTTTTTACTGAATTTTCTGACCCAGTCATGCACTCACACCTAAATCTCTATTCTACTCGCATTTGTAGTCAAATTCAACTGCACAAAATCCAGTT